TTTCTTATTGCAATTCTAACGGGAAAAAACACTCAAAAGTAAAGCAAAGTGATGCTGCTTATTTAATAAACCAACACGAAAAAATGGAATTTATAATAATAATAATTCTAGTTTCTCTCCGATATATTTTTTTATACTTATTCCTTTATATAAATCGGATTTCATCCTTTTCTAGAGTATATATATATATTTTTCCTTTATAACCGCTTTGTAGTATAAAGAAAAATCTGGATGAGGCTTTCTTCCACCTGAGTAAAACTACTTTCCTTTTCCTACTGTTTTTAACAATGGAATAATATCATCAATACTTGCTGCGAAAATGGTAGGAATGACTATCATTAACTATCGGCATATTGTCAGAGAACGAGTGCTTCTAAATAAGATTATACACTTGATAGAAAAATTTATTTAAAAAAAATAATAATAAATAAATAAATAATAACGTTTTGCTGATGTTTCAAAAATAATGATAGATTTTCTTTGATGCATCCCGATACAAAATAATGCAACCATTTTCAATTTACTCAATTAAATTCTTATCTTGATTCTAATTTTACTTTTATTACGATTTAATGTTGTTTATTTTAAAGTAATTTTACTTTCTAATACTTATCCTTAGCTTAATTCATTATTATATTATATATAATTCATCGCTTGCTCTACCTTCTCTTTATCTTTCATCTTTCTTCATCCTAGATCCGAAGATATATTAATTGTATATAAAGTAATTCATCTTCCTAATATTATAATGAATTACTATTTAAATTATAAGTACAGTAGTAGAAATTAACATGAAATAAATTTAATTGTTATCAATTTTTCTAATTATAACGCAAATTAGAAGTTGTAAAAAAGTAAGGAAAGTTTTAATAAATTAAATTTAATTAATAAGCTAAACATTTTTGTTAATTACAATTTTAAAAAAACGAGAATTAATAGTTAATTACGGTTTATAAGAAACATTATCATAAACTTAATTATATTCAATTACACTTAATTATAATACCAGGAAAAAAAACAAACTTAACGATAAAATAAAAGTTAAAATAAGTATAAAATTAATTATATTTTATATTTTCCACCGTTTAATTTGCATTATAATAAAGAAATTAATTACAATTATATTTTATTCTAATTAAAATAATATAAAAAGATGTTTACTGTAAATTTATTTTAGATAAATTTAATCGTAATTCATTTCTTTTAATTATAATTAAAAAATAGATAAATAAATTGAATTTATTTATTACTCTTCTTATACATGCAAGTTTTATTTAACTCCATTTACAAAGCAGATTTGAATTAGTGTAATTTTCTGTAATTTATTTCATGAAATGCGGATCCTTTTTTTTATTATTATTATTTTATTCACTTTTTAATTTAAAAATTGAATAAGAAAGAATGTTATTAAATAACTTTCCACAAGTAAATATTGCACAAAATAGATTTACTTAGAACTATATATATATATAGGTATATAGGTATATATATATTTCGAAAAACGGAAATCGATTTAGAAGCAGAAATTCCAATTTTCTTTCTGTGGATGGCGCAAGGTCATTTCATATCCTGATGACAATGGGATTCTTGCATGCCATAATAAACTAACAATAAATAAAAATAGTAACACGATGATACTATAAAATAGTTGGATTTGCTAACGATGTTGTAAAATCATTCCATATTGAATCGTATAAACCATTTAAAAAAAACCGTAATATAAGCCGTTAAAACGTCAAAAATTCTTTCAAATTAATAATAAATTAAAACGATTTTTATTTCTACTTTTATAAACAAAAAAGATGCATTGGTTTCGTTAAAATAATGTACAGTACGCCATTATGTCAATTTGACGTCATTTTACACTTCGCTGTAATAAAAAATGACGTAAGCTATTCTGACAAAACGAATGGATCTAAAATCTCGTATAATTTTTGATTTTTTTGTTTTTTAAATGAATCTAAACACTTGAGATTTCTAGAATGAACTGCAAATATTGAAAAGTAGGACATACAGACGTTGAAAAATAAAAAAAAAATAACAGAACAAGATTACATTTTTTACTCAGACGTATTTTTTCGCTTCTATACTCTAGAATATGGTAAATTCAAAGATATTTTTTTCGATTTTCAAAAAAGGACTATTTGAAAGAGCCATCAGTCGCTCGGATCCACCAAGAATTTAGAGAAGGCTCGATAATTCTATACATGTATCGCGAGCCACAAATTCAATATCTTACGAAGTTTAAATCCGTGTGAAAGAAAAAAAAATCGATAGACCATTTAAGAAATATATTTTTAACAAATAAATTATATATATATATATTCCATCTGCACAAATATAACTTCCTTGAGTATTAATGCATTGTTGAGTACCACAGACTGGATTGGTCTCAGATACACATTCATCTATATCATAACAATCAGAATCATCGGGATCTATAATATAAAGTAAATTAAAAAATTATTTGTTAATACAAATTTTCTAATTTAAAGTGTAATTGGTATGAAGT